TTCCTTTTTGTTTGGGGACCCCCAGTTTCCAACCCCCCCGGAAAGGTCTTTCCCCGCTGGTTTTTCCCCCCCCCCCCCCCCCCCCCCCTCTCTCTCCACGCGTGGCCATTTGTCTAACGGCTACAAGTACGGCATGCACAACATGAGTACGCCCCCTCACCCACTCCCCCCCTCTCTTTTGTGCTCATTCTTCGATTCAGCGAACCCCCCGTCTTCCCGTGGTGAGCCCGCTGTCCGAAGGCGGGGCGAAGAAGTTCCGCGAGATGAGCAGGAAGACCTCTAGGCAGTCGACTTTCGGGAGGGCCTCTAGCAAGATGGAGGTGAGCTGTGAGGCCGCTAGTTAGCTGGTAGCTGTTGGCGTTGGCGTCCATGGACGGGTCTACAAGTTCATCAGTGTCTAGCCCCCGACCTCTTAGTCTCTCTTCTCTCTTCGTTTCTCTCTTCGTATCTTCTTCGCTCCCTGTTCTTTTCTAAACGCGTCTGCCCTGCCCTGCAACGGACTGAACGACGGTTGGCTGTTGAGCTACGAACCAACCCAACACCGAAACCCTATCCCTCCCGCAGGCGCTCAAGACCCTGCACGACGAGGAGCGAAGATTTGTAGACAGGTGAGAGGGAAGAAGAAAGAAGGAGGCACCGCAGAATGCTGTGAAGGCCGCGGAGAAGGGGGGGGGGATCAGTTGTCTGCCGTGGTCGGTATGTCCAATAACCCTGTCGTTACTTGGCTTCTGCAGCAGTCGTGGCTGCGACATGATATAAGAGGGTGGTGTGACAAAGACCCTCGACCCTATTATAAGGTACCCTCTTATAAGGTACCCTCTTATAAGGTACCCTCTTACTTGTTTATCGGAGGCACGACTCTTATGTCCATAGCCCTGTAGGAACTTGTGGAGCAGATCGAGCTGCTGCCTGGAGCACCTAGAGAGTGAATGTCCCTGGGGTCATGTAGATACCATGCAGCTGTGCTTTGGGGCAAGGTTCTCTCTTGGATTTTTTGCCGTTTTGAAGACGTCCTAGTTGTTGTATGTTTCGACATTGGGTTTCTGCCATGCTAGGTATTTTCTGTTTGCGTGGTTTTCAACCTTGTCGTTCATCTTTTTCCTTGAGCATTATTTACGTAGACCAGTTTTGCACCCTCTTGTCTTGTACTGCTTTCTGCCGTGCCTGTCTTGTCGAGCATCATCCGCAATTACATGCTTGAGGTGGCACCCCGGTGCGAACGTCCTTGTAGATGCAAAAGAAAAGCTTGTCCTTGTATCTACTGCTGTAGATTTAAAACAACATGTGATTCGTCGTGGTAGTTTTGATCGCATGCTCGTGTCAACCCCACTCAGAGCACCTTCGTGCCCGGAATCAAGCCTGTTGGATGAAGTATATTTTACCTTTGACGTACCGTATCCCCTTGCGATATCTTGGCATCGTCCCAACTCTAGCACTATTGCGGTGCTCCGATGCTCCGATAGACAAGTAGTTATTCCGAAAGGCGTTCGGCGGCTATCGTCAGAGAAAGCTACCTGTATTTCCACGGTTTCCCGAGCAGCACACAGCGATATCTCCCCTGCGGGTTAACAGGCTCAACAAGATAGTTTGGTAGCCATCTCGTGCACCTATCTGTATGTTATGCTGGGAAGGTGCAGAAGGAAGGTGTTGGGTAGTTGGTTCGTCGGGTGTGCTATCTGTGGCACCCTTACGGAAATACATGTGAAGAATCAAGCGATTGTCGGGGTATTGTATGTGTATCCAAGTAACGTGCAGGGTAGCGCGGGAGAACATTTTTACTCCTTTCTTGTTTTTTTTTACCCAAGTGGTGCAGCCGGGGCGTGTTTGTGTTTTCTTCGAATCGCCTCGAAACGACCTTTCCGGACAAACATCGCCCCCACTCCCCCCCCCCCCC